AAGCATCATTGAATGATATTATAAATTAGGTTCTTCTAAGAACACGAGTAAAATTTGAAATATTAGTATCAATTTTCCTAACTTTACTGATAAAAGGATTTTTTAAAGTTAACATTTAGATTACGTCTTGGGTTAAAGTTTCCAAATATCAATAACTTTATGGAACTTTATGAACAGGAACAGAATTTTCATCATGACCAAAATGGCAACTTAAGAAAAAAGGTTTTTGTTTTTATGCCCCAGCAAATGAAAGTTGGAGGCATATTGTTTTACCTCTGTCCAGCCGTCCGTCTTTCCGTCTGTCTGTGCTAGGAAGTATTCACTTTTTACTGGCTGTTTATACATACATTGTATATCGAAGGTGTGCAAGTGGTCAGGGTTTTGATTTTAATTTATTAATTATTCCACTTTTGGGAGATAGTTTTACATTGTCATTTTTGGAGTATTTTTTTGGATAAGAGGTGCAAAGTTCAAATGAAGTGGATGTTAACAATTCAGGTTACAAATTACTGATCAGTTTTTGTTTTTGTTTTATAGGGGGAGGCAATTTTTATATCTGCACGAATTCCTTCTCTTTTTTGTATAGTTACAGTAACTACTTCCCTGGTGACTAATTATAAGGTACTTGATAAACTGATTTTCACTTATTCAAAAACCTACCTCATAATAAACAGTGTGATTCAAAAATAAAAGTATCTTATATATATGTTGCCTCTCTATCCTTACTGACTTATTTGCTGCAGTGAAATTAGCGAATTCAATGAAATCCTAGAATAAATAGTAAATTATTAAGTCAAGTATTTTGAAAAGCCTATACACGAGCAAGTGTCATGATCAATGATTAATTATAGGCACTAGGTCGTCTAGCTTTATAATTTCTTTGTAGAATATAAGTCCTTTCAAAATATAAGACAAACACAGGTTTACATAATTAACCACAGTTTTAATATGCAACAGTAATAATAATAATGAATTCAAATATTGTTTACTTCAATGGAATTTTTTACTCAATAGCAAATCTAAATGGCTCAGCATAATTTGTGATTTACATGGTTCTCATATGTAGAAAATATATGCAACACAAATAAAATAGACTTAAGAAAATAAAGAAAATTAACTTTATACAAGAGAAATATTCATCCCAAATATAAAAAAAAATCACATCAATATGAACTGTTGATGTGACTTCAACTTCATCATAACAGTACATGGAGTAAAAACTTTACCCATAAAATGTAATCACATTTCATTGTTCAGTGAACCATACAATCTGATTAAAAACCTTTGTTTTAGCATAGAATTAAGCAAAACCTCATCATCAAGACATGTGTACTAAGTTTCAAGTTGATGTGACTACCATTTCTTCATTACCTTACTTCACCAAAATCTTTTACCTGACCTAGGACGGAGAGACAGACAGATCAGAAATCATATACCCCTCTTATATTGTAGGTGGGGCATACAAATACTACAATGCTTGCAAGGATAAATAAACATGTTATATTATTGCCATTTTTTTCTCTGAATGAATTTCCCACAACTCATTCTTAGATAATTTACTGAAACCAAAAGTAATTTCCACTACAATCAATAGGCGTATTAATCCATACATCTTCCATTGATATAAGTTTCATTGACATTCCAATCAAGCATGAGTAGCTCAAGGAAACAGTTAACAGCAAGAAATCATTTAAAAAAATGTTGTATATTTATTTACAGTTCCCTTTATCTGGACCCTAAAATTATTAGACTCTTTTTTTCTTATTTGTTGAGTTTCATTTGAATTGAGCAAGGAAAATTCAAGTTACTAGCTATCCATTATCCATAAAACTCTTGATTTGGGACATACAGGCAAGACAGATGAACAAAGCATTTATAATCATATTTTGGCTTTTTTTAGCATATCAAATAATAAATCACGACCATATGAAAATAATAAAAAGCCACTTAAAATCATATATAGTGAAAAGAAGAAAAAACATATGATCATGAGTAATAAAGCAGGCAATGGAAACCTTACTTACATGTACTTAAACAATCATACCAAAAGAAAGAACTATGACAACCATTGAACAACAGGCACCTGCATATAAAATGAAGCAGGTTTAATCATTTTAATAGGCGCGCCAACCTTCAACCTAACCTGAGACAGTTGTGTAACGTTACAACATGATAAGACACACTTGAAAAAATAATCGAAGAAGGCTTTACTCATCAAATAGACATGATTTAAACAAAAATAAGTAAACATACACTGAACGAATAAGTTTGATTAGAGACAAATATAAAAACAAGATAAAAATGCAGGTGGTTATATAACATAGATGTTACAGGTAGTTATAAAAAAAGATGCAGCATGAATGTCAATGAGACAACTCTTATCTGGGACAAAATGTCCTTAAAACAAATTTGAAGGCAAGCCAAGCCATATAAAACAGGTAGTTTTATATATAATATTAATGTAGCGAAAGTTTATCGCCCATATAAAATCTTGGAAGAACAGATACTTATATTGTTGCTCAGAGAACATGTGCATACTTCATTTAAGAAATGTTAATTGCACCATACTAAATCAATAACAAACTTTTCCAGTTCAGTCCAAAATGTATACATCATATATTCATTCCACTGTTTAGAGGGCATATGTACGACACAAGTTTTTCAGACAGTTTTCCATCTGCTCGAACATATTTACAATATATCTTTTGAACAGGTATGAAAGCTGAAGGTCCAAAAACCTCATATATATCTCTTGACCAAACTTCTACTGGCTTTCCACAATGGTATCTATAGCGATCAGGAAGTGGTGCTAACCAGTTGACCTTTGCAAACAAGTGAACTTTACTTTCATTCTCTACGATGAGGTTGTGAAGGTAATAAGTTTGAACAATACCAGGGAGCAGATCCCCTGTACCAACATCTTCCACAATTTTTCCATCTCCTGCATTCCAATATGCCATGACAAATGATGAACGTTTATGTCTAGACTCCCAAGAACCATAAACTTCATTTCTAAGTGTGACAAAGCTACATTTTCGACAGGATTCTGGTAATACCATGTGAGCTAAATCGGGATAGATAGTCTTATAAGTGTGTTTAAGAACTCTGTATTCTTCTGCAGTAAGGCAATGAGTGGAAACCTTTGAAAACTTATAAGCTGAAATATGTGACCAGTCTTGGTTTGGTATCGGAGCACTTCTCCTTGACAAATATAAAAGATTACGAATTTCTTGATCGGTTACTTCAAGTCCTATTTCAGTGCACCTGTTCAGTTCCAAGAAATTTTTTCTAAATAATTCTTGAAAATTCTCTGGTAATACAATGGAATTTACATATGCATCTCTTGTAAAGCGCCGCATTATCTGTAACTCTATTGCACGGCTGTTGTTTGGAAGGGAGCCAAGGTGTCCATTGTACCTTTCAAAACTAAATAACCAAAAGGAATACACTGGTCCAAAATCCCTCACACAGCTTGCTAAATGACAGTGAAGATGCATATTAGGTGTAACTTTAACAGTACCATACAGTTGCTCAAATGATCTACAAAATTTCAATATATGTTTTTCGAACCGTCTTATGTCTGGTTCTGTAATAAATTTTGATGTAATGATATGACTAGCAAGAACAAATTCTCTCCAAACATCAAGATCATCTGAGGGCAAAATGTCAATTAGTGCAAAAATCGAAAAAATGTTTGTCCAATTTTTCCATTGATCAGCTGTGAACCCACCAAACGATGAAGCTATTTTTCTTGGTATTGATCCAATATTGCTAGCTGCATTAACTGAGTCAACCCTTTCCTGTATTTCTTCAAGCTGTTCTGGTAACAAAATTTTAAGTTGAAGCCAAATTTTAATAATTTTTTTGGCAGTTCCCTGATATAAATTATGCATTGGATCCACTATTGACATCCTTATTGGATCAAAATAATCTAATTCCCAGATCGGTGAATACCTTATCCCAAACTGACTCTCAAGCCGGTCTCTCTCAGTTTGGGTTCTAGCACTCTTTACTACATTCATGTTATGTCTATGCTCTAGTAAATTTCTGCTTGGCCATTCATTAACATCAAACCCACCATAACATTTATGCCCTACATCACCTGGAAAAGTTTTGTAACATTTGGAACACCCAAGTGTGGCACCAAGGCCTAAAAACCCACACAGTTTTCTTGTTGCTGGAATGTCACAGCCTACACACATCAAAGCAATTTTGAATATGGTTTCCTTGTTTTTTTCCTGGTATGATGTTAACAAAAACCCTTTGTTCCACCCAATTTTTAGCTCATCTATCAATGGACCAATAAAAGTTTGCACGCTTGGCTCTTTCTTCATGTCAGGTATAATTCCAAGCAGTATAACATTTCTAATTTTAAAACGCTCCTCTCGCTCCTCTCGTGGTAAATTCAAAATAACTGCATACATTACTCCAACTGAGTACTGGACATGTTCATATGGTTGGAACCAGTCTAAATTCAACATTATTCCATAATTTTGTTTGTTTTTCAAGAAATTGTTTTTCTCTGCACTCTGAAACTCCCTCCATATATTTCCATCAAATACATCAGCCAAAAATCCAGGTTCCTGTCTTCTTGATCGCCAAATCTCACATTTCTCTTCAAAATCTGGTCTTTGTACAAAACTAGACAAGGTCAAAGCAATTGATTTGTAACAATAAGTTTTAAATGGGTACAACTTTTTTGTTCCTTGTAATTGAACAACTTTAAGAAGAGGTTCACCACACGGCCTTCTTCTACCAACCTGTGTATGATTTGGAAAAATTACATTATTGCATTTTTTTTATTGTTGTTGACCCTCTACTATTATAATACAATCTTCATACTTGTATAATTTATAACATTTTTTACAAACAACAAATTTTGTAAAATTATCTTTTTGAAATCCAACATATTTGTACAACTTATAAGTTGTAGCTGGAAAAGCTGACGCAAGTCCAGCAAGGGCAATAACTTCTGCTGATAGAGCATTAAAAAAATCAGATAAAAACAATAACAAATTTTGGACTGCAATATCAGGAATAACATGAGAAGATTGCCAAGTACAGATAAAAATGCACAGACAAACAAATAAATAAAAAGTTGTTTTTTTCAAATTGTCATCATTTATAGCATCATGTGAAAAATTATTTAAATAATGAGTGTCATTAGCTGATTCATCCTGCCCATTGAAGTCTGCATCAATGTCAGCTAATGTTAGATTGTGCCAAAATTCTTCATCTTCATCTTCAGATTGTTCATCTCCAGGATTCAAACCAGAATTCAACTTTTGATGTATTTTTTTTCTGATCACTGACACCAAGGGTGATTTATGTATTTCTGCAGTACTTGAATTTGTAGATAAAACTACATCCTCCTCAACCTCACATTCTTGAGGATCACTAGTTTTACATCTCCAATTTCCATGCCTAAAATATTTGGTTTTATGATTTTCGAAGTGCCTATTTCCAAACCACTGATTGCAGCCTGGGCATTCTTTTTTTCCTCTTTTTTGTTTGAAGGCGATATGCGCACTTGAAGTAGTGGGTTCTGCTCCTCTTTTAGACATTGATCCTAAACAGATAAAATTTAATTTAATAAAGCATACATTATATTTTGGCTAATATTAAAGGTCAGTTACAAAGAAAAAAAATGCAATTATTTCATTATTTGTCTTCATGATTTTTTTCTCATGTACGTTTTGGAGGTAGAATATGAAATTTAAAGAAATAGTAAATTCTTGTTTTATGCTTTAATACATTCATGTTTGAAAGCTGTAAGTGTAATGCACAATGGCTGTAAGGTTCCTGTCATATAAAAAATAAATCTATAGCAGAGTGTATAGCTAAATAAAACATTTTCATTTAACCTATAACAAATGCCCCTTAACAAATTATTCCTTTCTACCTTTTCATATATATATGGAATCTTTTGAAATTCAACATTATTATTATTCTAGTTTAATTATCATAGACATAAGGAGAATAAACTGCTTCACTGAGTGCAGCTGGATATGACCGCAGAGGTCCAATCCTGAACAGTTAGGGCAAAAATGGACACTGAATATTGATACAGGTCTGAATTTGGATTGTAAAATAAATATTTGACACATTATAGATTTCTGAATAAATGTAGTCAAAGAACTTGAAATTGCAGGTTACATATGATTTGAATTTATATTCAATTGAAGATTTCTTTTGCATTTGTGCAATACGCTGTGCTGTTGCGTAATACTTAGTAAATCTGTTTTCAGACTATATGTACAACGAATTAGCAAAATAAATAGTGACGCCCAATTTTTCTTTGAAATAATATAAGAAGAAATTTTCTTTTTAATTTCTTAAATCTTGAGGAAAATTTTTTTGGGGCAATTACCCCCAAAATGAATTCTAACCTTCTACTTGTGGTATTGGACCTTGTGGTACAATTTTAGAGCAATCAAAATACTTATACTACACAATTCATTGTCCTGAAAATAGAAAAATGCTTGTTTTGGGCCCCTCTTTGTCCCCTTATTCCTAAACAGTCGGAACCATAACCCCCATTTACATTCCCAACCTTCCTTTTCTGGTACTAGTATTGAACCTTTTGGTTAAATTTCAGAGAGATCCTTACACTTAAACTAACAATATTACTAACTAGCAATATACGACCAAAAAATTTGTTTGTGGTCGTATAAAAATAGGCTATTTCTAAAATAATAGGTATCATCTTCCAAGGCTAATTTTTTAAATATTTAAACAAAAGGATGTATTCTCCATAAATACTGTATTTAACTCTGATCTCATTTATAGTAATCAGTTAAAACTCATGATAGATAAATATTGCTTTATTAATTTTTCATTTATGCATAAACATATCTGCTGATCTGCAAAGTAAAGATTCATGAGACCCAATGAACATGCATTTTATTTGTCTGTTACCTAAATCAACAAATATTCATCTTATTCATGTTATTTCTAACTCCTGTGCACTGGTCAATGGATTTATAATCATGACAACAAATAAAAGTCTCAGAAGCAGTTAAAATAAGGTTGGAATTTATTGAATGGATTGATTAAGAACAAATAATTTTGTTGCAATCTGACATCTTTTAAAGTCTTGAAACAGAGCTTCCTGTGTATAAAGGTCAACAAATTATGTCATTAATTACTTTTCGGTTGGTATTCTTTGATAATGGTTATACAATATAATTAACCATGCAAATAAACTACAATTTGTATTTATTTTTAATTAAACTAAGGAATTTAGTAACCTTTAATCATATTCACCTTTTGTTTGAGGAGAATTTAACATAAATGTCAATAAATACTTTTCGGTTGGTATTCTTTGATAATGTAGTTGTTATTGAGGTTGTTGTTGCAAATTTGGGTTTGAAATAAATAAAAAAAAACAATTGGTTTCTAGTAAGTATAAAAAAGGTTGCTACCACTAAACAAAATTAAAAAATCGTTAATCCAGAAAAAAAACTCCCCCCTCCTACTCAAAAGTCGAGTGGCTGGTGACGGGTTGCCATCTTAATTAGAATGGCTGTATTAACCTGCAAAATAAAAAATAAAATGCTCTGCAGGGTCAGCTAGATACAACAGCAGAGGTTGAATCCAGTTGGGGACAGTATGGACACAACATTCAAGCTTGATACAGGCTACAGCTCTAAATTTGGACATTGATTGTGATAAAATATGACACAAAATGAATAAAAGAAGTTAAAATTTTGAAATTTGGCATTTACCTATTATGGTCCAATATCCAAAATCTAAATACATGCTTGGATTAATATTCTGATCAGCATTTCAAATTTTTGATGAAATCAAACAAAATTTAATATTGAACCTCTTGAAATCTTAATGTGAACCAACTCGATTAAACAGGCCCAAAATCTAAATACACAGTTAGATTCAGCATATCAAATTACCAAATACATTCATTTTTTTTTCTTAAAAAATTTTGACCCAAATTTTGACCAACTTAAAATATGGGACAAAAATAAAAAAATCTAAATGCATTTTTAGATTCAGCATATCAAAGAAAATCTTCTTTTTTTTTTAAATCAAACTTAGTTTAAATTATTCCCCATTGAAACTAATTAAAAGATTTGTTTTCATTTTCAATTTAAGATTTCCAAACACTAATACACAAGTTATTGTCCAAAAAATTGGTAAAAGTCTCAAAAGGCTGGGTTGTTTTAGTGAATATAAAAAAGAAGATGTGGTATGATTGCCAATGAGACAACTCTTCACAAGAGACCAAATGACACAGAAATTAACAACTATATGTCACAGTATGGCCTTCAACAATGAGCAAAGCCCATACCGTCAGCTATAAAAGGTCCCGATATGACAAATGTAAAACAATTCAAACAAGAAAACTAACGGCCTAATTTATGAACAAAAAAATGAACAAAACAAGAATGTGTCCATAGTACACGGATGCCCCACTCGCACTATCATTTTCTATGTTCAGTGGACCAAGAAACTGGGGTCAAAACTCTAATTTGGCATTAAAATTAGAAAGATTATATCATAGGGAACATGTGAACTAAGTTTCAAGTTGATTGGACTTCAACTTCATTAAAAACTACCTTGACCAAAAGATTTAACCTGGAGCAGGACAGACGGATGGACAAACGAACGGTACAACCAACGGACGGATGGACAAACGAAAGGACACACAAACCAGAAAACATAATGCCCCTCTACTATCTTAGGTGGGGCATAAAAACAAATATGTAACACATCAACAAACGAAAACCACTTAATTACAGGCTCCTGACTTGGGACAGGCACATACATACAGAATGTTAGCGGGATCCCAACCCTCCCCTAACCTGGGACAGTGGTGTAACAGTACAACATAAGAACGAACTATAAAATTGAGTTGAAAAAGGCTTAACTCATCAGATGGATACAAATAGAAATACATCTTACAAAAACACAGAGTGGACGTGGCCGGGTACTTGAAAGCTAGTTCAAAGCCACTAACCAGGGGCGTTTCCAGGATATTTGAAAGAGGGGGTGTAGAATACAATCCATTGCCGAGCGGAGCGAGGTGAAAATTATTTTGAACCTTTTTTTGGCCAAAAAACATAAAATAATTGTGAAATGCACTAATGTAACGGTTCCTGACTTGGAGCATGTATATTTTATAGTTAAAGTGTCAGGGTTTGATATTTTTTATGCCGAATTCTCTCCATTAATTGTCTATGGTATATTAAAATGATTGGATGGATCTTAACAGCAGTAGACCAATAACAAGAAATTCCAAATTCTAGGGTATAGGGCATTACTTTACATTTCAATGGTCCTAGGCCAGGATTTTATGAACGGGAGGCGTAATTCCGGTTGCCCTGGTATAGGGTCCATGGGGAAGGTCAGAAGCTCCTGGATTTCAACAATTCAGCATCATATTATGAAGTATTATAACAGACTCCATGATAGACAAATTGGTGAAAATAGTCTGCCTTCGGATCATTCAAATTATGTATTGATTAACATGTGGATATCAAATCTTTGGAAGAAGTTGTAAATTCAGTTAAAAGGTTATATGAAATGGGCATGAAAAATGAAAAATAAATCTTTAACGATAGCTTTTTCTGAACTTTTGATATATATATATATAGCCATACCCGTTTTGTTAAAATATACCTTTTCACTGTTTTGGTCTTTTGGAAAATGTTGTTTGTGCTGTATTTAGACCCCTTTACCAAGAAATTTGTTTTGCATGCACACGTATAAAAATTGCGATTTTCATCCAACGCAATCATAGGTTTGAACGTTGTTTTCAATTTAGTAGATATAAAAAGATGTGGTATGAGTGCCAATGAGACAACTCTCCATCCAAGTCACAATGTATAAAAGTAAACCATTATAGGTCAAAGTACGGTCTTCAACACGGAGCCTTGGCTAACACCGAACAGCAAGCTATAAAAGGGCCCCAAAAATTACTAGTGTAAAACCATTCAAACGGGAAAACCAACGGTCTAATCTATATAAGAAACGAGAAACACTTATGAACCACATCAACAAACGACAACTACTGAACATCAGATTCCTGACTTAGGACAGGTACAAACAGTTGCAGCGGGTTTAAACGTTTTAATGGTACCAAACATTCACCCTTATCTGAAACAATAGTGTAACATTGTATTTATAATACCCTGTTCTAGATAGTCAAATCTGACCCCTTCCAATGCAAGGCGAAAAAAACATAACCCCATTTCAGACAATTTAGCTGAAAGTGCAACCCCGTTTGTCGGAACATACCCGGTATCATATATATAGCGAGTATCCCCCGGGTAGATGTAGAATGACCGTTGGGGAAGTGTCACACAAAACAACCATTTCATGTATAGATTTACTTACCGCTTTGGTTGTTTAAAAAAGGTGTCCAAGTCCCCCATCGGATGGGGGAATCAGTATAAAAAGAAATCAGAGTATGTGTTTAATTAATGAATATGATAAATTGCCATATTCAATACAATATAAGCAGATAACGAGTTTTTTTTTTTTTTTTTTTTTTTTTTTTTTTTTGAAAAGGGTACGCCCATTACGCCCTTACCTGGACCCGCCCCTGCTAACAACTAATAAAACTAGAGGCTCTCAAGAGCCTGTGTCGCTCACCTGTATTTACTGATGCTTTGGAAATCATGTAAAATAAGGTTAAAATCATAATTAATAGTATTAGATATTAGATATTATAATGATATCTAAGATAATAACAAAAAACTGCAAAATTTTTGTAAAATTACTAACTCAGGGGCAGCAACCCAACAACGGGTTGTCGGATTCGTCCGAAAATTTCAGGGCAGATAATTCTAAGTCTGATGAACATTTTTGCCACCTGTCAGATTTGCTCTAAATGCTTTAGTTTCAGAGATATAAACCAAAAACTGCATTTTACCCCTATGTTCTATTTTTAACCAAGTCAGCCATGATGGTTGGTTGGCTGGGTCATCGGACAAATTTTTTAAACTAGATACCCTTATAATGATTACGGCCAAGTATGGTTAAATTTGTCTCAGTAGTTTCAGAAAATGAAGATTTTTGTAAAAGATTACAAAAATTTACGAAAAATTGTTAAAAATTAACTATTAAGGGCAATAACTCCTAAAGGGGTCTGATTACTGACAATTTTGCTCATGACAACTTATTTGTAGATCTTACTTTGCTGAACATTATTGCTGTTTACAGTTTATCTCTATCTATGATAATATTCAAGATAATAACCAAAAACTGCAAAATTTCCTTAAATTTACCAATTCAGGGGCAGCAACCCAACAACAGGTTGTCAGATTTGTCTGAAAATTTTCGGGGCAGATAGATCTTGACCTGATAATCAGTTTTACCCTATGTCAGATTTACTCTAAATTCTTTGGTTTCAGAGATATAAGCCAAAATCTACATTTTACCCCTATGTTCTTTTTTTAGCCATGGCGGCCATCTTGGTTGGTTGGCGGGGTCATCGGACACATTTTTTAAACTAGATACCCTAATGATGATTGTGGCCAAGTTTGGTTAAATTTGGCCCAGTGGTTTCAGAGGAGAAGATTTTTGTAAAAAGCTAACGATGACGGAGACGACGCCGACAGACGACGGACGCCAAGTGATGAGAAAAGCTCACTTGGCCCTTCGGGCCAGGTGAGCTAAAAATCATGCAACTAAGACTAAATTATCAATCAGTACACATCCAACATCCAATGGATTTAGTGTAAAGACGTCATAAACAGTCAGAGAAAAACATGACCTTGTGCAATGCCAAGATACAGGTATCGACAGATTGTAGATCCGTGAATGTGTACATGTAAATTATATATGTTGTAATGTTTATGCCCTTTGGGCTCCATAATTGGAAAACAAATCTTGTACTTCTTCTATACTCGTTATTGTCTAGAAATGAAATGTCATTGGATGCATGACGGTGAAGATGCCAAGCCATTATATGAATTATATGAATGCAAATGATTTGTAGTCATATAAAAAAAAGTCAGGGTAGAGGTTGAAGATAGGTTTGGAGAATACTAAATTTACATTATTTACTTTATAAAACAGATTTTTTTTTAAATTGCACATGAGCTTCTATGGTTAAATGTTATATCATGGAAGTAATATTGTTCAATATTACTTCCATGGTTATATCAACTTGAAGGATAAAGCATTTCTCTCAATATATAAAAATTATGTAACCAAAATGTGTGTGGGAAATGAATGCAGTTCTCATTGTTATATAGGACAAACACCTGTTTTCATCCAAAAATAATGATATCAGATTGCACCACTTTATTTATGTTAATTAATCCATTCAACATATTACAACTTCTTATCAGACCCCCTACTAGTTTGAAAGCTGGATGAGGATCTCTTATCTGTAACCAAGTTAATCAGTCACCATTGACCACAAGAAAAATTGATGTTTACATCTTAAGTTAAATACACATTAGGTGTGTGGGAAGGAAAGAAATAACCCTGTTTCCAAAATCTAAGTCTGTAATTAAAAACAAAAATCAGCAGAGCAAAAAGAAATGTTAACTTGATCTGTAACTCATCTTCTTCTTTTGGATATCCACCCTATTTGCAGGGTCTCAGCATTTAAAATATGCTCCATTTTTTAACTGTGTTTACCAAAAAAAATTATTCATGTTAGGTAAAATTTTATTTGACAAGTTTAGACAAAACAAAAGTAAAAACAAGAACTTTACTCAGTCTGAGATGAACTTTGAATATTTGTATTTACTTTCCAATGGATAAAAATTAAGTTATTTATTTTATTAGCATTATGTCATTTATGATGTCAGGTTTAAGAACTTTCAGTCAGCATAGAGTTATAAGTAAAAAATATGATTTTGCATGGTTGCATATATAATAATGTTTAAAAATATCATGTGCAGGGGCGGATCCAGTCATTTTCAAAAAGGGGGGGGGGGTTTCCAACCATATGTGCCCATTCAAATGCATTGATCGTCCCAAAAAAGGGGGGTTCCAACCCCCTCCCCCTGGATCTGCCACTGATGGTTAACTCACAAATCAAAAGCCAGCTCAATATCTGAAGGTGTGTAGAAAAAAATCTGTATAGCTGTTATTTTCAGGAATTTTCTAGAGATCAGGGGGGGGGGGGGGGGGGGGGACAGAATAAAATGTAAACTTGATCTGTAACTCATTTGAGTAACTCAATTACCAAAAATTCGTAAGGATTCCCCAGAACCCAGTGTCTCACCTTCTTTTGCTGTTAGTTGCAGGCTAAACAAAAATGGGGAAAAACTTTTTTTTTCTCTAGATACTATCTTTTGATTGTAAGAAGCTTCTGTCCAAGTTTGTTTTTTTTTTGACATTTTGAAAGAGCAATTTTGTCCACAATTTTAATCAAAACAATTAATTTTACAATGGCTATAGGCTTGTAACAGTATGAATTCGAAGAAGCCAAAAAACAACATTAAAATATATTTGAAGGCCCCTTGAAGGTTTTGTAGAACTATAAGAGCCATCTTGCATGTAAAAACCCCATGGACATTTTGAAAAGTTGGCAGGTATGTAAAATATGGATAAACAGGATTTTTTTTTTACAAAATTTACTTCTGGATACTATCTTATTATCATAAACAAGCTTCTGTCCAAGTTTGGTAGAAATCCAGGATAGTTTAAGAAAGTTGTTTTAAATTTTAAAAGACCTCTAATATATTATAATAATAATAATAATAATAATAATAATCTGTCCATCCAGGATAGTTTAAGAAAGTTATTAAATTTTCAAAAATTTTAACCACAGAGTGAATATTTGTGGCTGTTGCCGCCGACAACAACACTGCTGCCGACGAAATGTTAAATAAAGGATCGCTATGTCTTGCTTTTGTGACAAAAGTCGCTGGCTCGACAAAAATCAGCCAAATCTCTGATTTTTTAAAGAAATAAGTATGTGCAATGGTTTGTTGTGGAATGACATACAGGGCCATACAAATAAAAAATTTGTAAGGGTTCCATGGAACCCAGTGTCATGCCTACTTTTGCTGTTAGTCGCAGGCTCAACAAAAATGGGGGAAAAATTTACTTCTGGGTACTATCTTATGATCATAAACAGGCTTCTGTTTAAATTTGGTAGAAATCAAGGATAGTTTTAAAGAAAGTTATTAAAATTTAAAAACTTTAACCACAGAGTGAATGTAATGTTATATATTAATTAACTGACAGAAAACTAAGTCCATTTAAAAGTAAAACAATCTTATAATCATAAACAAGCTTCTGTTCAAGTTTGGTAGAAATCCAGGATAGTTTAAGAAAGTTATCAAAATTTCAAAAACTTTAACCACAGATTGAATATTTGTGGACGCTGCTGCTGGCTGAGACCACAACAATAGACTATAGGATCGCTGTGTCTCGCTTTTACGACAAAAGTTGCAGGCTCGACAAAAATCACTAAGCCCCCTTTTTTTCTTTCTAAAAATATTAAAGATAAGTCAGCTCATTAAATAAGATGCATATTTGTTGATGCATTTGTCTGCTTGGCTCTTTTAAAAAATCTTACATGGAATAAATAGTAAAATGGAATACAAATATACAACAACATTTTCATGTATTGAAAGGACAAGGTTCACTTATGGCACAATTTTATCCCTTCGTAAACCTTCTCCTTTCATAACTCATAAATAAGTACACGTTTCTTAGTAGGTCCTATAATGAATGTATACTTACAGTGTTTTGATAAGCTATTCTATACTGCTACATTATACATGTACATGTATACTTTTATCACAATCAACTTTTAGTCATGTCTAAGTGAGTGACTGGAAAGAAAAATATACACAGGATCCTTTATTTTGATAAATAAAAAAAAAGTGATTTAATTCAATTCAATTAATTATAAGAACTATCATTATGGTGATAATTAAAAAAATATAGGAAACTGCATGCATAAGGGAGCTACCATTTGATTTTTATGGGAGGGGCTTAAGGATGAAAAATTTTGTCCTGCATCTTTTTAGTTGAAATCTCTGTCCTGCCTTTTTATTTTTCACTCTATTCCCCGTTATGCCCTTTTTTTATTAGTTTATCCTGACTTTTTTTTTTTAATCCTAGCCCCCCCCCCTCTATAAATCCAATGGTACATTGTAGCTACCTTAAGTTGACTGACAAAAATCAGCTTTAGTATATATGTTGTGTACAAATTGTAATGTTGTACAGTAATTTGTACACAGCTAGTATATTTGTGAAAGTTCTCAGTATTTTGTGAATGTTTTTACATAATTAGATAAAATAAGCACACTCGATCACTGTGTCTTTGGTTAAGCTTTATATCACTTAACTACATGCTACAGTCTAGATAATAGACACAAAGCTTATATTAAAACACTAAAATATATTTTGTGGACAATACAATTTGGTATAAGTTAAAAAATAAATATATAATCTAAATTTATCAGATGTCCTTTATATGAATTTGGTAGTTTTATGGCAGAGGACAGTGCTTAATGTTAGGTTGAAGAATATAAATTTTGTGAGTAAAACATCAAACTGGATAATTATTGAAGACAAATTTGTAACACCTGGTAAAAGAAGGTGTATAATTTTAATAGATAACTTGTAATAAAGTATTGTCTATTGTACAAAAACCCTGCACAATTTATAAATGGTAGAAGGTGTACAGTAAATAAATATAAATTTTACATTTAATGAGTTACCATGGCAACAAGCCTTGACGAAATCATTTTACTTTATAAAATGTCTTGATTTTCCATTGTGTAAGTCAATTTTCTAGTGTATTCTAGATTGGAAAAAAATGTGCAAACCCAAGAAACAACCTTATTTTTGATGAGATTACGTCAAAAGTTATATTAAAGCTTCTCATAAATTATTTTGTTAATTCTTGGCTGTGCACAGTGTTTCCACAATGGAATTTTTGATGGAAACTGCATAAATTCTGTATTTTCCAATGTTTTCATGAAAACAGTACATATTATGACATAATTGTGACCTCATCAGATAGAAAATAAATATATTCTTATAAGTGACAACTCTATGACAGTGGCCTAGTGTTGAGTTTCAAATTTTCACCATTGCTACTTTCAATTTATAGCTATAAATATAAGATGTTGCATCTTTAAATTATCCTAAAGAATAAACAATGAATCCCATTTCAAATCATGCATATTCAAGGGGCCTGATGGGTTATTTTCGTTCTTCGTGATCGGCGCATTTTCGCTATCGTGATCTGTTTTTCTACAGATTTTTTTTTTTTTTTTATATATTTCGTGGTCCGTGATCATGGAAATTTATTTTCTGTGAATCGTGATTGACAAGAAATCAACTCGTGAATCGTGATGAGACCCCCCCCCCCCCCCCCCCCCCCATCAGGCCCCTCATATTCCTGAGTCCAGATAAATGTTAATCTAAATTCCTGTAAAACCCAAGAGTGAACAAAGACCTGTGTGGTATCCAGTATTCTGAGAGTATATATATTGCATGGCAATTCAATAGTCCCGTAGTGATTGAAAAATTCATGGTTTCAGAACAAAATTTAAACTTGATTGGTAACTTGTCATGTACATGTTAAAACCATATACAGTCAAACCTTGTGTCAAAGTCAAGGGACCAGACAATAGTATTCCAATTATGCAGGTTCAACTCATCCAATGTTGAGTGTTGTCATAAATTTAGAATGAATGAAATATGGCATGACATTGCATAAACTAGATATTTTGAACAGTGTGCCTTTTTTAAATGAAACTTTATGGGTGTGTATTCTGAATCTTCATATGTTTTGGTTATTCATTAAATTTTAACACTCAAGGACAGGTTACAATACAATTCACAAATAAAATCAATACACAAATATTTACAAAGGTCAGTCCTATAAAACAGGGACGAAAGATACCAGAGGGACAGTCAAACTCAAAGATCGAAAACAAACTGACAACGCCATGGCCAAAAATAAAAAGACAAATAGACAAATAATAGTACAGATGACACAACATAGAAAACTAAAGACTAAGCAACACGAACCCCACCAAAAACTGGGGGTGATCTCAGGTGTTCCAGAAGGGTAAGCAGATCCTGCTCCACAAGTGGCACCCGTCGTGTTGCTTATGTTATTACAAACCCGGTAAATAGTCTAATTCGGTAGGTCACATTCGTGAAAAGGGAAGGGTATTGTAGTTACGACATAAGGAACATATCCGATAGCATCTGTGAAACGGTTATAAATTATGAAATCACTCGCAAGTTCAGAAAAATTACTGATGATTGAGAGTCATCCTCTTTGCATTCAATTATTATGTACCAAATATAAAAACAGTGTCTTCAAACATGACAAAAAATGTGAGGAAAACTGATTTCTTGCATAATTTTCCAAGGATTACAACGTTTTAACTCTTAACAAAAATTTCAGACTAATACAAAATTCTAACTTAATCTGTAACTTCTGTCATGGTTAAAAACTAATTACTATATATATATACCAAATATCAAATCAATATACCAGTGGCTGATCCAGAAATTTTCATAAGTGGGGGGGCCCACTGACTGCCTAAGAGGGGGCCCGCTCCAGTCATGCTTCATTAATTCCCTATATAATCAACCAATTTTTTCCCACAAAAGGGGAGGGGGGCCCAATCCGCCTCTGTATACATTGTATCTTCAAGCAAGACAAAATAAATGGAGAATGTGTCCTTGGGACACAGATGATGCCCCTTCTTGCATATATATATAAGGCTATTATTAAAGGGGCAAAACTCAAGAATGGTAAAAGTGCAGACACCACTGAATTTGAACTTCCACAAAACACAGATCAAGTTCAAAGTTTCATAACATTAGGTTAAGACAAAATAAAGTTATAGAACAGAAACCTATTTTAGGATGTATTGGTTTACGAACGGACGGACAGGTGTAAAACTGAATGCCCATTTCCCTAGCCAAGAGGGGGGGGGGGGGGGGGGGGGGGGGGGGGTGATGACAGAATGCAAACCTACAATCTGTTTGACTTTCCTGGTTGTGGGCCGGAATTATTTTTGAATAAGGGTTCAATTCTGACGTCTCCAAGAAGGCCCTTCAGCACTTCATATATATATATATACATGTATATGCATGTGTGAGCCAAAATTTGTTCCCGTGAAAAAAGTTCCAGTGGAACTTATATCACAGGAAATATGTTCTGGGAGAACTTTTTTCACAGGTAATTTCTATATAATTTGTTCCATCTCTATAAAATAAGTTCCACACTTTACCTGGTGAAATAAGTACCAGGTTGGTGAAATTTGTTCCTTACCTGGTGAAATAAGTTCTTAGTTTGTGAGATTTGTTCCTCACCTGGTGAAATAAGTTCCTTGTCTGTGAAATATGTTCCACTGGTTAAACAAGTTATCCTATATACTGAGCATTTGTCATCAGTGAGTTTAAAGTTATCATTCAAGTGCATTATAAAAGTGTAAACCATCAAGTTTGGATCCTATGGAGTATAGCAAATGTTTAATTATATACTCTGTAAAAAATATCTTGATACTTTTGAACCAGATTAGATTAGAACAAGAAAAATCATTCAGAAAAAAGTATAGTTTAAGAGGAACATATGTACTAATTTGAAAAGGACAAAGTGACTTGATCATTTATAAATATCAAAAGACATGTAGAAAAAAAAGACACACTCTTTTGAAACTCACTCACAGTGCCATGTCCTAAGTATATGTATGACTAGAACACGGGGCCATGACAGTTAACAGGAACCAAGGAGGAATACCGCATAAAACATTAATACAAATTATGATACATTACCATCGCTTTTATTTCTTATCTTCATCCTATAGTTACAGTCATGCCTTCAATTGCAAATGTATCCCATGCAAGTACACTCAGTACAGCATTTAGCTTGCATTATAATTTAAGTTTAACAAGAAAATGTTTCGGTGTGCAATAATGATTAAGCGGAACTTATTCATTAGTTTCTATGAAATATTAATATGTTCGTTTAAAACTAATGTCACAGGAACTTTTTTAAAACTTTTGATATGAATTGAAACAAAATTCATGGAGCTATGATTTTTGTTCCGGAACTTATATCACATTTGGCCAAAAAATTAGTTCCGGAACAAATTTTACAGTGCTGGAACATAATTTCTGTGATATAAATTCCGGTGGAACATATTTCCTATGAAATTTGTTCCAGAGGAACAAATGTCACACCGGAACAAATTTTTTGTTACACATGTATATACAATTCAGTCAGGGGTAAAACTTATACAATTAAATTTTATTTCTTTAAAGAGGTAAGCATTTTAAAACACTTAAATAAGTCAATTTGTAAGATTTACATTTTTTATTTTAATATTCGCGATCTCCCCTTAATCTTCTGGAAAAAAATAAATCATTCAAGTAATTTTTGTTACAACCCCTAAAATTCTCAAGTTTTGGATTATAAAAACAAAACTTTTATTTTGCCTGGTTTGCTAACACTTTTTAAATAGAGTTCAACCTTTCATCTCATGATTTCAACAAAGAAACTATAATTGCACAAAGATGTTGAGTAACTGAGCAAGGCCTTCAAAATTACAACCTGGAGGCTTGTTAATAAGCAGTATTTGAAGAGAACAGACAAATCCATGAAAATATACTAATACATGTACATGTATGTTTTTGATTAATAAAGACAACGTACTGCAAAAGAAAAACAATTAAACACTCTATTAGATCAAAGCTTCATTAGCAGTCAAACGAATTTCAAGGAAAGAAAGAAGTATGCCTTTTTGACTTGTATAAGTCAAACAAATCTGAAAAAGTCTAACATTGTCTAAGGGATATTACTAAACCATTAAGATAATTTACCTCTACCAGTAAATAAAATACATTTAAATATTAGAAAAAAAACCTGACTGCAATTTGATTGATCTTTGCAAGTTATATTAATTTCATGAAGCTACATATATGTATTACAATGTAATTGCTCTCAATTCAAAATTTGTCTGAAAGAGCTTTTAGAGATTCACCTAATTTTTTACAAAATAAATCAAAAGGTTTTTGAAGGTACTGGTATACTCAACATGCTCAACATAACATTTGAAATTATGACTATTTTAATCTAATCTGTAGGGCTATTTATATAGGAAAAAGGGCTATTTAATGCAAAAATATAGGGATTGTAGCCAATAGGACATTTTTTTAAAATAAGGATTTTATTATAGCTTTAGAAGTCCTGCACTATTGACATGAATAACTGAGATTGAGCATCTGATTTAAAACAAATTTTCTTTTTTTAAATTGTTTAAATGAAGTCAGTTTTCTAAAGTTGTTCTTCTATACTGTTCAGTGCATGTGTGACTTGATATGCATGTGCTAGCAGATATTATATATTGTTGTTTGACTCCAATGATTGTAATTGTGAATGATTTTTACTAATCACACCAAAGTTGCTGATTTGATCTATTCTACATTAATTTTGTGAAGGTGTTTGTCAATAATAGTGTGGCCATGAATGCAGCTGAACAATTTCTGGTTTGACAGTTCATAAGGAATCAAGGATACATGACTCCTCCCTCTGGGCATCAAAATTGCAGCTATAGCAAAAAAGTATAATTTACTAAGCTTTAAATTTGTAAATTAAATTTCACATTTAGCTTTCATTGGATACATATTTTGATTATATCTATACAGCCCTCCCTATTATTAAGATTAACTACATGTATCAGTGGACCATACATGATATTTAAGAGATTGAATTTTAGTTCCTATACCATAATTCGAGAATTTCTCTCTAAAACACAGTTGTAAAAAAAATTTGTACCTGAATATTATTTGCATCACTGTCTTGATATGTCGTCTGGAAGCTTCGCTAGTCTCTCAAGTTCTGAAGATGATGATATTCCTCAAAGTAAAATCATTAATACCAGTACTGCCAGTTTCCATCTCCAAATGGAGAACTCAGACTCCGGGTCTGATGAAGGTTCTAAAACAGTGGAAGATACATCTATACAGGAAAAAGGTCCTTCTGAAAGTCCTCTCCGTAAGAAGCAAAGGAATGCTCTGTTGGCGCCTCTGGATTTGTCGACCCCTTCAGTACAGTTTATGCCTGGAGCATGTGGTGGACCAGCAGATATCGACACACCAACTTCAGTTATTCGAAGAAGAACTTCAACACCTATCTCATTTAACACCAGCACTGCACACAATTATGTCAACATGGAGTCAGTAAATGAGGTAACATTAAGTTAAATTAGTTGTCACTATCTTGGATAATTCTGACTTCTGTATACAATGTGTGTAACTCACTAACTGTTCATTATACTTCATAATTAATGCATGTATTGTATATATCAGTCACTGACACTAAGTTGAGTATAAGTTTTAACTTGCAATTTAGTCATTAATTTGAGAAAAATCTATCCAGGGGCATACTGATGTGTGAATGAGTCCAGGTAACTCGATCACCTTGATTTGTGTATGAAAGATAATTATTATAATATCTGTTTATATCTGGTCATGTACATGTCCCGCGGTTTTTTGTAATGTTGTTATAATAACAGTGTAAGTTAAGACCAAAAAGTAGACAAGGAAAACACTTTATTATATTTACTTGTCAATTTCTGAAGATACTATTTTCTGTCATTTATTTTATAATTCACACCCATTTAACAATTATAATAGTGTATAGTATATGCATCATCTCAATCTATCAAATAGGATACATTATCTTATTGGGCTGAATAATAATATTTTAATGGTATTTAGTTTGACTTCGCACCTTTTCGGTTGCCTCGAGGTTTTTCCATATAGCACTGTTCAAATCGTCATTGCGGGATTTTCAAATCCGCAAAGAAGAAATTTTCAACAACACTGTCAACACGACAACAGTCACTTCAAGTTCATCATGAGACTGATTTTCGATTTGGTGACCGTATTACTTATAATTCTCTAGACATAACACAATCATTTATCTTTTGAATCTCATTCTGACATTCATGCCCAATTTTCTTCCCAAAACCCAGTCCAAATAATATTATGACGTCTTGAAAGGCTATTATACTTTTTGCTTTGACGCCTCACAGCGGTCGTTGTAAGTCGTCAAAGAAAAAAAGTAAATACACTTTCAAGAGGTCATAATAAGTTGGACTACCCAAAATCTATCAAAGGAGGCCGGCTAGGGGGCACTTAATTGTTTTGAAATACCTGGGAACACGTTACAGTATATTTTGTCAATAATGACAATATATATATGTTCCTGGAAATACGGAAACAATGTCACTGACCACACTAACAATTGGTGTCTTTTTTATGTGATGGTGTAAAAGTGGGGAGGTCGTGCAAACCCACTCGTTTTCTGTGGGAAACAGGTCTGGAGCAAATACATGTTGGAGTAAGTCTGTAAACAACTATACTCAGACTATAGAAACAATCAGCTACAGTACATTGCATTAATGATTAAAGACTTTAAAGTCTGAAGATGTATGCGGATGCTGATATTGGAATATTAGCCACTTAGGCACTTGGTCAAATTGGCACCCAAAATAAATGCTCACAAACATCTTTTTAATTAAACCTGCCACATTCTTTATGAACGTGTCCCAAGTTAGAAACATGTAGTTCAGTAGTTGTACATGTATAGTTGGTTCATGACTGTTATATTTGTTTTCGTAAATTGTTTTGCTATTGACTATGCTGTTATTGTTCTCAATTGAATTGTTTCACATTTTTCAAGTTTGGGCCTTTTATAGTTACAGCCGACTATAGAGCATGGTTTTTGTCTCAACTTGACGGAGTCAAAAAGCGAGACATAGGTATGCTGTTTCAGGTGTCAGCGGCGTCAACAATGTATTAGTTTGTGATTAGGTGTAGTTTATGGTGAACCACAAGTGATACATTTGTAGGTCAATCATATTTGGTATACAGTTGTATCAGCATTAGCACATCTCATTTCCATGGAGATTATTTGGCCCTGCCCCCTCAGTCATGGTCTATTGACTTTGAAACTTTTGCTTTTTTTACATGTATTAGTTTGTGATAAGGTCAGTTTAGGGGGAACCATTAGTGGTAGGCCAATGTTAATTGGTATTCAGTTGTGTAAACATTAGCACATCTCATTTCCATGGAGAATATTTGGCCCCATCCACTCAGTCATGGTCTATTGACCTCGAAACTTTTGCTTAGTTTACATGTATTAGTTTGTGATTAGATCAGTTTAAGATGAACTGCTTATGTTAAGTCAATGATAATTCACAGGTATGCAAATTTATTGGCATTTGCAAGTATCGTTTCCATGGAGATTATTTAGCCCCATCCCCTCTTCATGGTTCATTGACTTTGAAACTTTAGCATACAATGTATATAGTTTACAAGTTAATGTTTGTGGTTAGGTTTAGGTTTAAAGGGAATGACTTACATGACTTATAATAAGTCAATGCTATTTGGTATGCAGTTGTGTTAGCATTGGCACATCTCATTTACATGGAGATTTTTTAGCCATGTACATGTACTTCAGTCATGGTTCATTGACTTTGAATATTTGCATAACTTATTCAATATGATAAAGATTGCTATTTTAATTTCCACATTTGCATAATCAAAATTACAAAAAGGTGCGACATATCTCTGTGATAACAGTTTATTTCTTGTTGAAGGCTTATGGTTGCCTATAATTGCTTACATCCACTTCATTTGAACTTTTGTGGATAGTTGTCTCATTGGCAATCATCATGATCATATCTCCTTATTTTTGTATTATGGTTTGCAAGTAAAGTATTGAAGACACCATTTTTTTGCCATAATTTTTTCAAAAATAATTCACTTTGTTAAAAAATATTTGGTAATATATTATATAAGTTCATAAGTTTTTAACAATGTTTAAAGTGATAACCAATCAAAAACATTTTTAATAGAGTAATGAGAAAACTTTAAACAGAAAGCCAATTATTGTGTATTTTGAATTCTTACTTTTAATTACAAGTGCTGAAATTTTAAAGATTATTGGATAATTGACTTTTTCTATAGGTACCTAATTGACCAGGTGACAATATGACTTGTACCCATGATATTGGTATACATTCTAATTCATAGTGATATTTATTTATAGATTAAGAAGGTTAAAATCAACAATGTGGTATTTTTACAAAAAACAAAGGTATCCACCAAAGACCAACTGATGTCTATGCAATTACACATGTACTAGCCATAGGTCACCATACTTCCTTCATTATAGAGTAATTTTTGAAAACAGTTCAAAGCTATATAGTACATGATATATATATATGTACCATACATGTATATTAACAGTAAATCAAAGTTAAAAAGGCATTGATATGACAGAATTTTAGACTATTATATATAATGTATATTTACAATCTCTCAAAAAGTTTCATTTTATTTAGCTAATGAAGAAGATGATGGATTCCCAAACAGAAATTTTGATGAAGACCTTGACTGATCAAGGTGAAAAAATTGAAGAATTACATCAATTGTTACGGAGAATCGATTTGCATGCAGGAACTCAGAGAAAAGGAAATAAAACAGCCATCCATGTTCCTGCACATATAAAGGTATATACCATGTATACATGTATATATTTATAAAAATGAAGACAATATATTTATAAAAATAAATATATTGTCTACATTTTCTGATTTAATTATTAATAAAAAAATCTATCAAATAATATACATGTACATGTAAGTCATGCAATTCACTTAGAGACATGCCATTGATAGAAGATTGAGGAACACATACATGTACATGTATGTCTTTTTAGTTTTCTCAGCTTATATACTTGCTTAACCTGCTTAAAATCTGTAAATATACCTTATACATGTTATATGTATGTTCAACTGTCTGGCAAAATATATACATGTAATCATAATGTTTCAAATAGCCAAACATTGCAAAGTATATATTTCAAGTATTGGAAATCCTGGATCCCCCTGTCCACCCTTCCCTTTGCATAGACCAAGTTTTACAAATACAATATGCAATGTTCCTGATATAGACCAGTTTGAAAACATATAAATTCCACATATGATCTCCTGTCGGTACACATTTGTTCAATCAAAATAGTTTAAGAATTTTTTATGTTTTATTTTGCAGCAAGCTGTTCGTGATGCTTATAGGCATAGCACTGCAGAAAACAATTTAGTCTGGACATGTAAAACAGCAGCTGGTTCTATTTTGAAGTAAGTTATAGTAATTACATGAATTTGACATGACTAGGCTGATTCTTAGGATAATGGTACTCAATGTACTATCTTTTAATTGTTTTAAAATTTTATGGAAAATACTGTAAGTTAACCACTGCCAATATGAATTAAGGAGATGCAGTGTGATTGCCAATGAGAAAACTAACAAATAGAGTTCTAATGAAGTGAATTTTACCATCAATAGGTTACCATTTATCAATTCTTAAACCTTGAGCAAAACCCATACCATATAGTAAGCTACATCTTGACAAAATGTGAAGCAATTGTCCTGATTTATGAGAAAGTAATTAATGAAAACAAATTTGACAGACAGTAACCAAGGACAACAATTAAAATCTGGCTCTTGAAATTTGCTGGCAGATATAGTAAGTCAAGTTTTAAAAAAAAACAACATTAAAGCAAAATATTTTTGACGATTCAGTAGTCCATTTTAAAAATACAATATACATGTATTATAACACCTGAGTACATACATTTTTAAACAGCTTACATTCTTGAGTGAAAGCAAATTTGGTACTTATTTAAGATAAGAGCAACTCAATAAAGTAGAATCAAGCTTACAATTGGTGTAATTTGAGAATAAAATGTTAATGTTTTCTATACATGACAAAATCATCAGAAAATAAATCATGTTTCCCCAAATTGCACAAATTGTACTAAGCTTAAATTTTTTAGGGTTACTTGACAGAGGCTCAGAATTTCCTACCATAGAGTAGGTAACCTGTCCAAAAAATAAATAATTCTAACCCTAACAACACTTTTTAACATCCAAGCCTGATTACATTTATATAGTTTTTCAAATAAGCTTTAATATTAATAGTCCATTTTCATACTTGTTTACTCCTGTTCAAAAGTGTTGTTAGACTTAGGAGTAAAAAAAGTATGAAAATGAACTATTACTATTTGTCAAAAGCTGATTCATGGTAAAAATCATTTTATGATCCATTCATGATTGAAAAATTAACTACATTTGTACTTTTATCCCTATAAATACCATTTATTGGTTTAAACTGGTATTTCCTCAAACCATTAGTGTTTTCCTAATATGCAATTACTTGGCCAATATATATTAACCTTTAATCTTCTTCTAGGTATTCCTCAGGAGAAAACAAAGAGTTGTCTGAGGCTATATGTGTCTATGTCAAAGGACAATATCCCACAACAGAAGAAGGTGTTATTAAAAGTAAGTACATGTGTTTTACAATAATAATGCAAATTTACTATGATATTTATGGTATATTTAAAATAATGTATGCCCTTGCTGCTAGTCAAGGGGCATAAAAGTTTAACCCTGTCACTAAGCTACATTGGAATTTAGTTTTAATCAAATGGTATAAAAAATTTACACAAATTTTTTTACTACAAAACATAGTTCAGGTTCTAATTTAAATGGCATCCCTTTCACTTTTCTCCAGGTATTCCCCTTTATTACATATATGCAAGTGGGAAGTGGAGCATCTTTGTCCCATTCTTTTATTTTATATGGAATTCGAACATGTAAATCATTTAAACAGTTAAATTTTTATATGAAATCCATTCTTTGATATCTGGTAATTTTCCCGCATTTTAATCAAACGATTGAAACCTTCATTTATGTAATAGAGACGAAAAATAATTGCAGGAAAAAACAACAGAAAAATAATTCAAAACAATTTTTATATTTAAATGAATTAGCCAATCAAACAATGACTGACTTATTTTCTGTTTGAAATTTTGCATATTTATATTGATTTAATATTATTAATTAGATTAATTAGTAAATAGATAGATTAAGTTAGATTAAAAGGGCAGTAATTCAGTTTCTGATTATATTTTTGGGTTATATTGTATACAGCTGATTGTGCTATTTACAAATACTTCTTAAATGTCAAAAGAAAACGAAATGGGAGTACTTAATATTGAAATTGAAAAGGACAAAAAACTCAATGATGAGCTATTCCAATAACAATTCCCCTTGGCGGGAAAAGGAGGAATGCTATTTAATTTTTAGACCCCTCCTTTAGGAAAATTTTGAAAATATATGCCCCATCAAGTAAATGTCTTTTCTTCCAAGACTTGCCACCTATGGAAAAGATTCTGTAGTAATACCACTGTAATGACTGTCATTTAATCTAATTTACACCAGCATCAAACAGAAAATGAGTTGTGACTACCCCCACAACCTTTAATTTCACATTAAAATTTTACCAAACCCCCAACAGAAAAAAAAATTGTTAGTGTTCCACCCTTAGGTGGGAAATTTAAATTGAATAGTCCTATTACTGACTTGTACATTATATTCACTTTTCAGCTGGTATTGAGACATATTTCAATACCATAAAACAGAGGAGACAAATGGAGGAGGATGGAAAAAAGGCCTCACACAACAGAAAAATGGTTTTGTATGGGAGAAAGAACAGGGTAAGTACAAAACATTATTGTCACACTTGAGGAAAAAACACATGTGCCTTATGTTATGATCTAAAATTTAATGCCAAATGAAGAGTTTTGACCCCAATTTCATGGTCCACTGAAAATAGAAAATCATAATGGGAGCAGAGTATAAATGTACTATGAACCCATTTCTTGTTTTCTAATGCAGCTTAATTTCATTCATAGTCACAGGGATAATCACACCTTTTAGTTATTCTTTTAATATTAATTATTCCACAGGATATTTTTTGGGTCATTCATTAGAATATATTTTAACATATGATTTTGATAAGTTAGAATTACTGCATGCAGAAAATTTTGCTTTTGTCTCATAGATATCACTAGTCAAGTTAAATCAAATTAAACAATTTTTTATTACAGAAGCTTCAAAATAGAGTAAAGGCCCTTCAAGCCAAGAAACTGCCAGTGTCGGAAGAGGACAAATTAATGAAGGCCATGAAAATAGATTTCATGTCTAGTGAGGACAGCGATTCTGAAGATGAAACTCGCCTAATCACAAGACCTCTGACTTGGCTGTCTAAAGATTTTAAATCTTACATGGATAAACTAGACAGTAAATACCAGAGACAGCTCAATGCACAGGGCAAAAAGCTGAGGTCTAAGAGAGTTGTTGGCAGGCCATCAGAGAGGCCTTGTCCCAAGAAATCTCCAGACCTTGCATGGGTTTTTGCTTAAGGGCATTTGACAAAAAAATAATCTTTAAATTTTGAATAGGGCCAATTCAAATGTACACTTTTGGAATTTGCAAAGAAAAAAATACCTTCATGATTTACTTTAGAATTATAGTTTACATGTTTTATATAAAGATTACCGGTAGATCAGTTTAAGGGGAACCTCTGAAAATAAGTCAAACGGAATATTATGGTTTATTGAATTTGACTTTGATTATTTTTTTAAGTATACAAGATAAATTATTGCTATTTAATTTCAACATTTGCATTTTACTATCAAAATTATTTACAGGTGCAACAAATCTGTGTCAGCAGATTATGTTATTGTGTTTGGTTAACCTACATATTTTTTTTTTTTAATTAACTTTCTTTTACCTTTTCTAATTAATTAAATGCTGAATAATAATTTGGGTGTGGCTCATTTGAGTGTCTCTGGTATTTGCTGTCTAGATTTTCCATGTAAGATTTCACCACATTATTTATATCTCTTGGTCAATGGGAGATAACTTTTTATATTTAACAGTTTACCAAATGTTATTTCTATTTAAGAGTTAATGAACAATTCATATTAATAAACTTATTATTTTCGTCAATTGTCCTAGTACATTTAATATTTGATAATTTTGTGCTTGAAATCATATAATTTTGTCGATAAAAGTTTATTTGTGTGCTATTTTATTCAATTGAACATATTTGAAAAATTTACTTAATGTTTAATTATTTTTGACTTGCATACAGCATTTGGGATGAGATCCCATAAAATTTTAATTAATGTCTGAGCAGCCTGATTGGTTTTGAAATTAGCAATTATGTTTATGTTTGTTGTTTTTTGCTTTTTGATGTATTTGTTTTTTTTTTAGATTGACAAATAATGCTAGCAAGGGAGATTATTCATAAAAAATTTTATGATGACAAACTTGAAAAAAAAAGCTGCTTATGTTTGCTATTTGTTATAACCTTATTGTAATGATTCTGAAATAAGCAAACTTAACTAGTAAGCATGTTGCTTTGCCACATACCATTATTTCATTAACTAGTTTGAATTTGATGTAGAACTGAACTTATTTAAAAAAAAGTGTATTTTTATATTTGTTTGCATAGTAAAATTGTAGTTCATTGATATAACAAACATTCTGAGTTTTTTTTTTTATTGATAATCAAAACAACTCAGTTTTGTCAGTATCTGAATAAAATTAATTTGATAAAGACTTTGTTTCTTTTATTGAAGTATATACAAAGGGAGATAATTCAAAATTGTTTTTTATTATTCTAACTTGGTTAGAAGTGATAAAAATAACTATGCCCAAGACAGGATGACAATAAGAAAATGCAGGAAATTGTTGTGTATGATTATGCTTTGTCCAACAGTTTTTGTTATCTCCTGTATTATATATTGTAAAAATCCAAATCACACATAGAGATAGCCTTGTCCTGTAGTTTATATCTAGATTTTGTGTTATTTGTACCGGTTTGTCTTAAATTCTAAAACTTCAAGTTCTTATATAAAATCAGAGGCATTGGCATTATTTACATATAGGTAAAGACATACTTACAAACTGGTATTAAGCTTTGCAAATGAATGACTTATGTTCTTTGGATTATAGTTGTAGTTTCATCTTTACAGGCTTCAATGGTACTGACAAATCATACATTTGCACATTGCCATTTGAAACCACAAATATTATTCTACTGTTATTTAACAGAGGAACAATCCATGCCTTTCACATCTTATACCTTGTAAATATGGATAAGAAAAGTTGGAGGATCCATGATTTGTTTCAATATAAGATATTTCCAAACCAGATATTTGAGTTAAAGTAAAAAAAAAAAAAAAACCCACACCCATCCTCCAGTAAAAAAAATCAAGCAGAGAGAAAAATTCTGCCTTTTCTTTATTTTTTATTTCCATGATTGTTTTGTAGGTACCTCAGATATACAGGATTTATGTTGACTTTAAATTGTATTAAATATGATGGAAGTTCTAATCTAAATAAGTCATAAACAAAACAAGAAATTTATTTGAATTTACATATAATTAAATTTTAAGAATATTTCATAAATAATCTTGAAATTTATTTGAATTTAATTTTTTTATTATACTGGAAATTTAATTCTTATTAAATTCTATATTTATTCAAATTTAATTTATATTAAAAATTCTTTAAGTTTGAAATTTATTCAAATTTAATTTATATTAAAATTTCTTTAAAATTGAAATTTATTGAAATTTAATTTATATTAAAAATTCTTTAAATTTGAAATTTATTCAAATTTAATTTATATTAAAAATTCTTTAAATTTGAAATTTATTCTAATTTAATTCATATTAAAATTCTTTAAATTTGAAATTTATTCAGATTTAAAAATGTCTTTAAACTAGGTTGAAATTTGGGAATTTATTTGCTTTATTAAATTTAGGTTAAACTTATGTTAAATTAGAAATTTTCCAATGAAGTAAATGCATATAATTTTTTTCAATTTGAAATTTAATATGCATAAAATATGCATTTAATTTCCTATTAAATGCATCATTTCATGCAGTGTTTATATCTAAAAGTCCGCTAATTGTAAGAAAGGTAAAAATCTAAATGAATGTGAAAATCTATTTGAATTGTATTACTTTAGATTAAAAGCTTCCTTGTACGGTGCGTTTTCTGGCATGACAAACCCTAATCCAGCTTGGTTGAAGACTTCCTGAGCTAGAGCAAAGGCTTCACAGTCTTGTAACTGAATGAATTGTAGCTGACTAATGTCCGTCATGAAAGCAAATTCCCCAGTTCTCGCCAGTTCCACAGCATCTGCACGACTTGTAACGTATGGCATCGTAGACATTTTATCCCATATTTGTGTGTATACACCAGAAGAAGCTGTCTGAAAGTAGTCACAATTATTGAACGTGCAGTGCTGTATGTTTTTGTGCTCTAGGCTGAAGGTTTAAAAGTGACTCGGAGATGAATTACTTCATTCAGAGCGCTTTTCCTTTGATTTGTGTTTTTTAATTAGTGCGTGCAGGGATTCTCTGTCATAGAATAATAAACCACCCCTTTTTCATGGTTAGACAAACCCCAGTTACTCCTAGAAATTAGGAGAAAAGAGTTACAAATTAGGTTAAATATATAAATTTTCAAAAGTTTTTTTTTATTTACCTCATGTCCATGTGTGAAACTATTACTATTAAACTGAAATTTCATACATCAAAGGTGTACAGAGGAAATGAATGCATAGAATTTTATCGACTACGTTATACAACTGCCAGTGATGTCTTTGGAGACTATGCTACAATCAATAGAAATATTCGCAGTATTTATAAATTTTAAGGAAAATCTTATTTTGCAACTTGTAATAGGTATTACATTTAAAAGAGAAAGCTTATTGTTGTCAAAGTTTTTAATGAAATCTTTCATAATTTTTTTATGTTTGCGATAAAATGTGATTAAGGATTTTGTTATGGTAATTTAACCATATGAGACTTCTAATGCGTCGTTTAACTAGTTTTTTTTATATCATCAATATAATCAACAGGAAAACATCTACCGGCTGATATTTTTTAAAAGTTAAAATGTCTATCTCTTCTCTATTAACACAATTAGTGGAGCAACATATGCTCCAGCCATCACTTAATTGTTTGTTTTAAAGCTTTTCTTTGATCTGTAACAGTCATGATTGCGTTGAAATTTTATTAATGGTAAAGTATAGTGCGTTCATAAACTACATTGTAGTAATATACTATTCTTATATCGATCCTGTAATGTAATGTTATTTAACTATTGAAATTTTAATTACTTGAAAAAGCGTATGGAGGCTAGTTCCAGTCTTCACCAAAGGTTTTATTTTGTCTTGGTCAATGAGTTCCGCCAAGCTGTTAATCGGCTGCACAGTAATACTGACAGTCAAATATGCAGCGAGGTTTGCTGTATAGCTTGCTAACATCAATATGGTAAACACCCACCAAAATCCCAACATAACTCTTCCTGAAGGAGCGCTCGGGCGTGGATCTACAGCTATTGAAAAAGATATCTTAAATATATTTGAACCACAGCAAAAAAGAGGCGGACGATACTAAAGGGATATTCAAACTCGTTTGTCGAAAAACGAACTGACAATGGTATGGCAAAAATTAAAAACCAACAAAGAATGAATAACAGTATAGAAAACACAACATAGAAAACTATGCAACACGAACCCCAACAAACACCAGTGTGGTCTCAGGTGTTCCTGAAGGGTAAGCAGATCCTGTTCAACATGTAGCACCCTCCGTTGTTTATATATCTTCATATTGTCCAATTCTAAATTTATAGTTAATGAGTTAAACCTGCATGTAATGACAAATCAAATTATTCATTTTGATAAATTTAAAAATATGTTATTACATATTGATTAAAATGGGTTATTCTAGATTTTGATAGTTTGTTTTTACAAATTCTAAATCTTATTCGTACCACAGTATTAATTCTTTTACACAAATTGAAAAATCGCCATAATGTGTGTAAAAGAATTAATACTTTAATATGAATAAGATTAAGAATTTGTAAAAACAAACTAACAAAATCTAGAATAACTCATTTTAATCAAGATGAATCTGTTATAACGAATTAAAGAAATATGTAAACACAAATTAAAACTCTGTCATAAATAATTCAAATTTAATTTCTTCATGTTCTCAATGGACTGTGGTGAAAATATGATGACATAGCCTTTAGTGAAATTTAATAAAACCAACTTCAGGGAAATATGCAAATATTTAAGACAAGCATGTATAATTGAACTAAGTGCACACAAATATTAATTGACATTTAAGTATACATATTGCAATATAATATAATTGGCGAAAATCACATACACCTACTCGTAAACAGTTTGGGCGTGAAGAAGCTAAACGTTTTGCTAAATTAGTTATTGTTTTCAATGAAAAGAGCTGCAGTTAAAGCATGAACATTTTCGTACTGAATTAACAGTTTAGTCCATTGTTTTACAAATTGAAGTTCTTTTTGATTTCGCCTTTTCCCATTCAATAAGATCTTCCAATAGTTTTCAGCAATTACACATCAATATTTTAGAAAATAAGTGTTTAATCATTTATACAAAGCTTTTTTCAAAAAGAATTTTACATGTCTAACTAGCATTGTTTAACTATAAAGTTTTATATAAATACAAACGCACAAAAGGATATACCGCATAACATTTTGTATTATATTTAATATCTACCTTGTTCGAGAAAGGACCCATAGATTAACCACATATTTTCTTTTAATTTCTTTTGCTCAGCAGCTGTGTCCACCATTAGATCTTGACCATCGACAGTGTAAGGACTGAGTCGATTTACAATATACAAGAAGATGCCGACAACAATTATTACCATCCCAATGGCGCCCCATACTTTAAGTGTAAAGGGCTTTAGTGTTTTAAACAATTTGTAAGGTTCCTCGGTGATTTTCTTAGTTAAGATTCCCACACCGTCCTCCATTATTGGTACAGTAAAATCAATGACGGATTCCCTTATAGAAGTGATCGTAAAAGGAGCTGCGGCAATGTCTATTTCCTGTAATGAAATTTGTCAATTTTTTTAAATGCAGTTGAGACGAATTAATCATATTAAACGTAAACTGGTTTTTTCGCGGGTTTATCTTTTATACATTGTACCAAATGTATCTCAGAAAACATATTTTAAGATATTAATGTCCATACGTAGAATACAGTTTAGTTTTATCGTCCACACTTAGAAAACAGTTCAATTTTGCAATTCACACTTTGAACCACTTTGGATGAATTAATATTTTATCGTGAATCTAATTTTCGAATGTAATATAAATACATGCATTCCATCTACTTCCAAAACATATTGTTATAGTCTTTTAAATAGTATTTAACATGTATCTACAATTATGTACGTATCTTGTATGTCATTAACATAGAACCTACTCCTCGCATGATCATGCCAACCATTCCTGTCCATGATCCATCTTCTTTGGGACCACCATATTGTCCATCCGGGGGATGAACTACTTTGTAACTAAAATATTTCGAATTATGAAATTAAAGAATACCACACATTTAATGTTGTCATTTATTTATAGATAGCGATCTTTTATAAGCATAAAACTATCGGGAGCTAGAATTATTTAATTGTTTTGAACCTGTCTTTCACAATTGTTGCAAAAGATGTCAATAATTGGATTTATTTATTATCGGGGAGCTGCTCTGTGAATTATCATTGATATGGTCACAATAATCAATTAACTGGTTACAAAAGTTTGAAATAATCGAAATACTTAGGATTTTCTACCCTGGAATAGATTACTTTAGTTGTATTTGCAAAGACCTTTCGGAATTTTGGGTCCTCAATGCTCTTCAACTTCGTACTGTATTTGTCCTGTCTAACATTTTTGATTCGAGTCTTTTATAGACGAAACGAATGTCTGGCGTACTCAATTTTAGTCCTGGTATCTATGATGAATTGACATTATCCCAATACTTTCATTCATTCATAGCCAATCAATCATTATCTAGATAAAATATATAAAGACGATTTGGTGTTATTCACTTGATTCTTGAAATTGTTGGAAAACCTGGTCAATTGGCAGAAAGGCATTAATAGATGTTAAAACCCATGCGAGCACATACAGTTCTTACGTATATGCTTCTGGGTAAAAAAACATCACTTTATTTTTATCACATACATGTAGATTTGATTAACTAAAGAGGATTTCAGAATATAAAATGTCGCTGTTATTTATTGTATTATCGCTATTGTTTATTGTATTGTCGCCATTGAAAGGTTAATTTATATACGAAGCAAACAAAGGTAACTGGAAAAGAAATGAATGAGCATTCATGCATGTGTTAGAAGTAGGGTAAGAGGAAGTGTCATAGACCTCTGTGTGTCTGCTTTTGATTTTCTTGTGTTAAGAAAACCAGAACATGGGTTGCCCCATAATAATTATTCAAACTTACCTAAAATTAAAACGCTTTGCCATCTCGTTTAATATATCAAAACAGAATCCTTTGTATGTCGTCACGTTGTTGTTGGTTTCGATGTAAATGAACGGTTCTACCTGTAATTATTATCAAACACATCAATGGAAAACAATACAAAGGAGGAAGCATCAATTCGCCCTGAATTTATTTTACACCAGGGCCAAATCTGTCAATCTTGACTAATAACATTACAGGTGTATACTACTTGCTTCAATGTGTAACAACATTGTGGCGTAATCAGAAAAATGGAACCAAATGATAACTGTCTGAATTAATATGGCTTAAAACTGGAATTTTTAACCCAAAAAATTCCATTGGAAGTAAAGCTTCATTGTATGTTTTGTTTTTAACACTTTTACTGCACCTTATTAACATTTCGACAATGAGCTGATAAACCGAAAAGGACCAAAACGTTTAAGCTAAATCCGAACAATGACGTAAATCAATTCAAAACGGATTAAGAATGCCCTCCAATATTTTTTTTACAAAAACATGTAAAATGTGTGATATTGTATCAAAAATGTCTTCAACAACAGAGAATAGTACTCAAAAAACATTTTTCATGTTAATAGATATGTATAAAATTATTGTGAAATGTTTAATGTTATAATTTAGACTGTGATATTCAACTTCTAGTCGATTTTAACTATTTTCTGATTTTGAAACTTTTAGATAAAGAAATTCAGGGAAAATTGGCCCTTGCTTCGTCTTTACAACAAAAGTTTAGTTCTCTTCAATCAAATCATTTTATAAAGCTGTGTATTTCATTGACCTATTTTATCACACCTAGTGACCTGGAAACGAAAAGACATATAATTGCTGATATCTTCTCTTTTATCAAATATTTATTGTCTTGCATGATCCTGTATGTTTGCTTCTGGTTATCTTTTATGTCATCAGTTTACCTGTGGACTACATTTTTTTTTCTAGTACAAATAGGTAAACTTTGTCTCTTATTCAGATGAGTTCAGACATTTCTTTTATAAAACTATTGACAATTTGCTCAAAATTAGTTGATGTCGAACATTTATCAAACAAATTTCATAATGTTTCAATGAGAATAAGAAATAAGCGGTTCTTATTCAGAAAGATGTACAATCAAGAATCTCAATGTATTTTACCTGCAGAGTTGCAACTGTTAAGGTTTTCCCGCCAAAATCGGTAAACTCGTTACCAAACAATACGCCATCATTTAATTGAAGACCATTTCCTGTTGTCCACTTTCCAATATTGTGTAAAGAATCTGTGACACCTTTAATACTACAGAGTTGTAATTCAGCTTCTAATAAGTACCTATTTTGACCCCATCTCAAGTTTCCAGTTAGACCTTTGACGTTTATCTATTAAGTGAAAAATTTAAAAAAAAATCGAATGTAAGATTTGCACAGTTGTGTAATCTTTATGTTTTAAAGTTTCGGAATTCAATTCGGGGAACTGTTCTCAAAATGTCAATATACTTAATTTTTAAAAAATAGTTTGTTTTTATTTGACGTGTTCTGTCATTATAAACAATATAACCAAATAAGACCTATGCCAAATCCAACTAAGGCCAACTTTACCTGAAGGAGTTAAAAACTCAGTTTCTTTATAATTTAAAAATTTATAAACGGATAATTTCAGAACGTTTGTCATAAATCATGAAGGCCGTATGTTGATCTATAATTGCTTACATCGTCTTTATTTAGTTGTCGGTGGATAGTGTCTGATTGAATTATTGCCTTCCAGTCTAATTCGCCGACAGCTTTTTGATATGCAGTGATTCTCGTTAGAAATTCGGCAATCACACAGCGCTGGTTCGAATGGAAAAACCGTGTTAAAAGAAAAAGTAACCAAACTTGGAAAAATGAAAGTATAAACCGATTCTGAAGGGGAAATTCTAAAACATCAAAGTACTTTAATAACTGTTATGACGAAGAATAATTAACAAATAGGAACGCATTAAAAATACAAAAAAACAAATACAATTATTGTTAGAACGCAGGGTTTGCATGTAATCACTTGAGGTAACTGACGTATAACTGATCATTCCCTTCCACAGAAGCCAAGTAAAGATTGACTAACTTTTCCTTGTACAATGAGTGTTGGAACATTTCGTCAAACAGAAAGTGCGTGGCTGATGTAAAAATTGCTTACCAACTTCAACCTTTAAGTTACATTATCAAGCTCCAAACCAAATATAAAATAATTCCATTCCAAAGAAGCCAAGAAAACATGAACTAAGTTAAGTAAATATATGCACTATTGGTTAAATAATTTCAGTAACATTATAATTACAAGGAACTCGTTTCATGTGTTTTTACGTTCTTTAACACATGCTACTTCTTTTCAATCAAATGATGGCATATAACATCCTTTCATCGCCTTTAATTGAAAAATAATCGGAAGTTTTGACAACTGAATAGCTTTCCGATATTTCCGGTGTATCTTTTAATTCAATTCGGGTAACATGTTCTTTTTTTTATTCGTGTAGACCATTTTTGACGGTTATTAAGGTCACATCTATCACGTTAAATCAATAATTTTGATAAGATCTTATTCAATTATCTCTTGTCTTTTGTTATTTTCCTGAATTAAAACGTTTGATCAATTAGTTAAATATACTATTCTATTTTTTTATTTTCTACTTTGATCCTTTTCAAACAAGTTTTTCATTAACAACCATTACGAAACTGCACGGAAGTTTTTCTCCGCGTTGAAAAATACCGAAGTTATCCGGCTATTGTCTTTTCGGATGTGTTTGAATTCTTTGAGTCCAAGACATTTAATTTAAAACCATCACCCTGGTGAACATACATATTATCTTTGAACATTTAATATTCTCGTTTTTACCAGAAAGTGAGAGGATTATCATGAAAATCAATATGCCTGTATTAATTAACAGCTGAGAGGATTTTCATAAAAATTAGTATGTCTTTATTAATCAACAGCTGTCATTGTCATATTTTATCCAAACATGACAGTAATTTGTAAGGAAAAAACAAATATTTTAAAGAAAACAAAACTTTTATGATATGACAACTTAGTTCTTATTGTGATTGAAAAGTCCACTATCTTGCTTTTTATGAATACAGATCATTTATGTATAGTACTTCTTTGACGTCATCGTGATAATTAAAGATTACTGATGATTTCGCTATCTGATAATAATGTTTGTATATACACATATTCAATCAAATAAAATTTTATAAAAAATTAAAAACAAAATCAATTGGTAGGTTCGCAAAGTTGGATGACCGGGATGGTTAAAATGGGTAAGAAATTAGACCCTGTAAAAAGGTGTGTATGTTAGAAATGGGCAAACGTTTTGCCTTGTTACTAGCCTAAGCAAATTACAGACATTTCAAATTAATGTAAACTAAAAAAATATCAAATGCTATCACTATGCTAACAATAAATGCATTTCTTATGTGTATTTACTTTTTGAATCTATTTTACGTCGCTTCAGAAACCTGAAGTGTTTTAATCATGTCAAACTGCAGTCTTTATAAGTCCTTAAACATAACATGGCAATATAACCTTTATTTACTAGCCTTTCTCGATAGCTTTATTTGTAAATAAACTCATCAAAGATACCAGGATACAAATTTCATACGCCAGAAGCGCGTTTCGTCTACAAAATACTCATCAGTGACGCTCGAATCAAAATAGTTAAAAAGTCAAATAATGTACGAAGATGTAGAGCAATGAGGACCCAAAAAAGTAATTTTCTGTATCATTAAATTTAACTTTTTGATACTTTTTATTTACGATTTTATATATTAACACTTCCACAGAAAAGTAATCATTGGTCGACATCAGTATTAAAAGTGGTATAAAAAGTTTTATTCTATACAATTTCTATCGTTAGAGAACTTTCTACAAATAATTCGATTGTGATTTATATAATACCTTTTTCATTTCTGTTATCAATTTGTCACCAGTAGAGAGAATACGTGTGTGGTTTCTGCAATCAAATGGTTTGAATGAAAAACTTGGAGAAACAGCTAAGATGTTGTCTATTGCTTTCTTGTAAATTGTTTTAGCATCTTCTAGAATTTCAGCCATCAACTGAAATAAGATTGGTTGTAAATCTTATTTAAAACAAATGATATGTCGTGTACTCTTCTTGGTTTCTTCGATGAAACAACCATTATAAATGTATACCAAAAACTGCTACGAATGTTACCTCCATTAAGTGAAAACATGTCTTGTAAGATCAACCTCTTCTTGCCCTACTTGTCTTAATTTGTAGACATTGTGAACCTCTGGTCAATTCAAAGGTCATCTGTCTTATAACATATGTTTTATCTGGTTATAAGTGTGACCTTTATATACCGGTTTGACTGCAGTTTGAAAATGTACTTATAAGAAGGAGATTTGCGTGATGTATACAAGCTGCCCTTGGGATTGTTAGTGTAAGTTAGAACATTCTATAGTTAAATTGAAGTCAGGGGAAAACAGAGTTTGCACGCGATGTAGGCCAAAGTATATCTTTTTTCGTTATCAGACATTGTCGTAAAATATCATATCAATTTTTGGCGTTTTCACCTATTATGTCTGTTTGTTTTGCTCACACATTGTTGTCAATATAATGGAATTCTTTGCGACTGTCATACAAGTGAGAGGTTTAGCTAGCTATAAAACCAGGTTTAGTCAAGTCAGTTAAAATATGATCGTCAAACACGAAGTGACTGACACGTCTGTTAACCCGGGAGGTTTAATACTTATACATTCGATTTGTATCTTTATATGTTCTATGTTTCATTCTAGTGTCAGCTGTTCTAAATGAAATTAAAGAAAAACCACGAATGATAACTATGCATTATGTAGGAAACTGATAAAAGAACAATTTCTGTATGAGATTGAAAATAATTATAAAAACAAAAACTATATAAATTAACTTCTTGACCAGATTAAAAATGAAATCAATTCGCACCAAACTTTTTATTTATTTCCTTTATAAATTCTTTGAAATTCACAATTTCAATATCCTTTTATTTTTTTTGCACTATGAAATTGT